TGCCACTGCACTCTGGCCTGGGTGGCACAGTGTGACCCTGTCTCAAAAAACAACAGCAAAAAACTTTTGACTTACTTAGCAGTCACTCATGAATGAATAGCCCAGGAGGGCTTGGCTTCCCTTGCCACTGTGAAGTGATGTCACCAGGAGCCACAAAGCAGGCTGGTATGAGTAGTTCCTGTCCCTGGCACTAAGAGTCACAGTAAGCTCAGTCCCTTTAAGCTAACAGCCTGAAGGCAGGCTATGGACAAGAATTCTTTGTAAGAGCATAGGTCTGAATACAGCTTCCATATACACTGGAACCATGAGAGAGCCTTGACCAAGTGTGGGTCCTTTAGCATCATCGATAAAACTATCAGGCAGTTGCACTCACAAAGAATTTATGATTGGGCAGCTGCTCAGGAGGCCACCTAGAGCTCCCTGGCCTCCTGGAGAAAGCCCAAGCCTCTCACCAAGACCTCCCTGAGCTTCTGATGTGGGCCCAGCTACCCTCTGTCACTTCCTTTCACCAAATTCTCTCCATGTGCCAACCATGGGAGGCATCTTGCTATTCTCCAAACATACCTCCCTGCTTTGGCCCATGCCCCCTCTCTGCTCCGAATGCCCTATGTCTTCTCTGAAGTCTGTAACCTTTCTAGGTGAAGTCCAGATTCTCTCTTCCTGCCTTCCCTGGTCATCTAAGACAGAGGAAGGTGCTTCCTCCGCTGGGCACCCTCAGTATACACTCTCCTTTCTCACAGCATTTGTTGTCGCAAATCGAGCTCATCTGTGCACATGGCTATCTTCTCTATGACAAAGGGTCTGGTTTATTTCTCCTGCCTGTGCTTCCAGTACCAGGAAACAGAACCTACTAAAAGAAAGTGTCAGTAAATAGGTATGAACTCAGCGACAGCAAAAAACCTACCACAACTGAATGACTAAGAAAGTGAATGAATTTTAAAAGTGAGTGAGACTGGGTGTGGTGGCTCACGATGACATCGTGAAATGCTGTCATCTCAGCATTTTGGGAGGTTGAGGCCAGAGGATCGCTTAAGGTCAGGAGTTCGAGAACAGCCTGGGCAACATGGCAAGACCCTATCTCAACAAAAAGATAAAAAATTAGCTGAGTGTGGTGGTGCATGCCTGTAGTCCTAGCTAATAGGAAGGCTGAGGTGGGAGGATGGCTTGAGGCTAGGAAGTCGAGGCTTCAATGAGCCATGATCATACCATTGCACCCTAGCCTGGGTGACAGAGCAAGACCTTGTCTCTAAAAAAAAGAAAAAATTTTTTTTTAAAGTGAATGAGTGGGCTGGGCACGGTGGCTCACGCCTATAATCCCAGCACTTTGAGAAGCCGAGGAGGGTGGATGACCTGAGGTCAAGAGTTCGGGACCAGCCCAGCCAACATGGTGAAACCCTGTCTCTGCTAAAAATACAAAAATTAGCCAGGTGTGGTGGTGTGCCTGTAATCCCAGCTACTCAGGAGGCTGAGGTGGGAGAATTGCTTGAACCTGGGAGGCAGAGACTACAATGAACCGAGATCGTGCCGCTGCACTCTAGCCTAGGCAACAGAGCAAGACCCCATCTTAAATAAATAAATAAATAAATAAAGGGAGTGAATGAACAATAAATGAGTGAATACACAAATATACCAATTAATTATTAGCCACATTTAGAAAGAATCGAACACCCAAAAGAATAATGACTGTAATGGATTATCATATTGAGTCCATAGTGATATTCAAAAAAAGAGGAAAGGCTGGATGCAGTGGCTCATGCCTGTAATCCCAGCACTTTGGGAGGCCAAGGTGGGCGGATCACCTGAGGGCAGTAGTTCAAGACCATCCTGGCTAACATGGTGAAACCCCGTCTCCACTAAAAATACAAAAATTAGCCAGGCATGGCGGCACAGGCCTGTAATCCCAGCTACTCAAGAGGTTGAGGCAGGAGAATTGCTTGAACCTGGCAGGACGTGGAGGTTGCAGTGAACCAAGATCACACCACTGCATTCCAGCCAGGGTGACAGAGTGAGACTCTGACTCAAAAAAAAAAAAAAAAAAGAAAGTAGGTGAAAGCACTTCTTTACAGAAGAATGCCAGTGAATAAATGTAGAAGAAATGACAGAGGCAGAAAATCACGATCTTGAAACCACTGTTATAATAGCCAGTTCAGGTAAAAATCATCTATGGATGCTAAATCCACTGGGTGAAAGCTTTTGAGGGAGCAGTGTTGTCACAGCGTCTCAACATAGCTTCCTGTTACTAAAAGGGCTTCCCTGGTACCATTACAATGAAGACTTCGCTAGAGCAATGGGCCTCACCAATGGGCCACACTGACATCATGCACCTTCCGCTG